GATTTGTCCTTTTCTTCTCGTTTTTGTTTCTTGCAGTAGGTGCAATATCATGGTGCTAAAGTGTTGAAGTCTCTCTTTAGGAAAAGATTGCTTCACCCAGAAATTAAACATAGTGATTGACTGGCTTCTGAGTTAGATATTAACCTGTTCAAGGAAATTGCAGTTCAGGCTGGTCACTTTTTGTCTGTCAGCTTAAAAACATAGATTTCATTTAAATTGCATCTGTTTCTCTACCATGAGCTTCTCTGGAACACGGCCAAATATATCTTGTATCCTGCCCAGTTAGAGGGTTCCAGTTAGTGTGTATTTAGTTGCTTTCTTTTTTGGTGGAGTATACTAACATTTAAAACCAGTGTCCTTTATAGCCAGATCTGGCAACTACTAGCATGAATTAGAAAGCTTTTGTTTATGACAGATGCATGATAAACAACAATCTTGAATAAACATTAGAAGTAGAATATGTCTGTGACAAAATTTATTGCCTAGCAGATATGTTAATACTCATTCCATGTAACTTCTCAACCACAGTTTTCTAAAGAAAAATTGCGTAAGCATGACATTGTGTCAGATGCTTATGTCCCGTTCTTTTTTTTTTTTTTTTTTAAGTTTTAAACAACCCTTCTGAAAGTGTGCTTTTTTTCCCTTTCAAAAGGAAAAGCTTCTCAAGAAATTCACTTACTGCTCTACTTTAAAAAATTTTGGATTATAAAATACTGCTTTGTTCTTCAGGACCATTTTCTACCTTTTTTGTGTGTGGTTCTGGGGGGTGGTTTTTGCATTGTAGATGAAGTTGAGGGATTGATCTCTTCAAAGATTTACCCTGGAATGATAGGTAGGAGGATTTTGCAAATCTTATCTGGTAATGAATGTAGGAAGAGATGGCAAATCTTATTGGGTAGTGAGTGCATTATGGTGGAAAAAAGGTGGTGACATTATGGTTGTCACATGCTTATTTGCTTTTTAAAATTTGGTTCTGCTAGCGGTCTTTAGTACAAGTCTTTTTAAACACTATGTTATGTTGGTGGCTCATCTTGAAATTGTTCTAGTTAAAAGTATATTGAAAAGCCTTTGCTGGATCATTCACTATTATCTAGGACTTAAAGGCCAAAAGAACACTTTCCTTTACCATTGTAAGGGAATGAGGTAAAATTATTGATGTACCACAAAGGATTACAATGTATTTGCCAAATTTGCTGGTGGAATCTGGAGCACTAGCTTGAAACATTTGTTGGCTTCCCTTAGCCAGGGCAGGCTGAAGAGACTGATAGGTCAGCAAGCAACAAACTTCAAAGTGTTAGAAGAACTCTTTGGCTTTTTTTTACAAAGCATACTGGCCCACATTCTAAAGCTGTCCCAGCACCCAAAACGGCTTCTTTTACAATGCAAGTTGGAATGCAGAGACTGGCTATTTCAAAGGCTTGTGTATTTTGTTAGTTTGTTATTGTGGGGCTAAAAGGATCCTTACTTGAAAGGAAAACTCAGAACTGTCTGTATGGTGAAGACCAGACCAGGCATCATTAGAATGTTACTGGGTAATTAACAAATGGACTAGTACACTTGTAAAAATTACACTAGGACACTTGTAAAATGTGTATAGTGCTAAAGAAAAAATGGGGGGACTAAAAAACTCACCAGTTGCCTACAGCATTGCCATATAGTGCTTGCTTCTGGGCCTCTACCAGTAAGTAAAGAATGATAGTTGATGAGTAGCACCACATTTTATGTAATCTGGAAATATTTAGTTTGCGGGGTGTAACTGTTAAATTGAAGTTCTTGATTAATCAAATGAAAGGCTGTGTGTGTCGGAATTGGTCTTTCTGTGTAGGCAACAAAAAAAAAAAAAAAAATGAAGGTTGCTTGGCAGTATCTTTGGCTCTTCCAGAGTGCTAGGGTCAACACAACTGAAACTCTTGAAAACCAGGAAAAACTATAGTATTAAGTATGTGTCTGCTCAACTTGATCTGTACCTTTAAGTGATGCTCTGGCATGTCCAGATGTGCACATGCCTTGCCATTTTCACCTTTGAACTGTACCAAACAGTGTGACAAATTGCACAGACCTTTTGCTCTTAGCTATATACATGTCGACCAACATGGCCCCTTCACTTATACATCAATAAATCCATAGGCCATACTCATCTCCCACCTAACGGCTGAGGGTCCAGATGGCATGAAAACTCTTGTGCTGCTTTACTGACATAATCTATGGAATGCCATGCTACAGTGAAGTCTGCGGCATCTCTTGAGATATGCAGGCATTTTTCATTTGCTTATATGTAATAGGGGTTATTTCCCCCTGCCCCCCTCCCCACCCCTTTCACAGCCATAGCCCTCTCAGATTAAGTCAGATCAAAATTGCAGTTCTTTTGAGTTGTACTTGAGAAATCCCTTCACTCTGATACAACACGTAACAAAGGATACAGCTGGAATACTTGTGGAAAATTTCCTTTAGCTATAGCCTGTTCTGGGAGTGATGGGGAACACAGTTAAGGGTTTCTGGATATGCACTCAAATTCAGGAAAAACAGTAAATAAATAGTTAAAAGTTTTGTTGAACTCAACTCTGTGGCAGGGCATGAGAACTTTTTGTTGGCTTTATTTTTTTGTTAACAAAAGTTAATGGATTTCCTGCTCTCTTCTTTAGCATAGAGTTTTGTAGGAGTAAGTTAGGCGCCTAGCCGCTTGTAGTTCTGACGTGGGCTTGCAGTTAAGATGCTCTGCATAGGTGAAAGTATAGGACAGTATACGATTTCTAAGTGCTGCTCCCCATCTGGAACATTGTCAGAGTGAAATAGGGATTATGGTCATGCAATTAATTTTTTTTGGAGTATGTGGTTACTAATGTTGGTGAGAGATCACAGACATGGTCTGTGTGCCAAAATTTTGACAGTTTTATTATGCGATGTCTACACCAATTTTAAGCATGTAAGAAGAGCTCACTCTCTCTGTCTCTCTGTCTCTCTCTCTCTCTGTCTCTCTTTCTCTTCCTTTATCCAGCCCCCAACCATCTATAATATATAGTCTCTCTCAGCCATTTCAGGCTCATCTTCCTTTTCCTGTTCCATTAAGCCACTAGTGTTTTAGAAGCCCTTAGCACATGAACAGTTGTTTTTTTGTTGTTTGGCATTCTGTACCTCAGGGTCCCTCTGTACATTGTATAGCAGAATAAAGCTTACTTGAACATTTCATGCTTTTAGTTATGTAGCCTGAGCTATAGGCTGCACTGTCAGTGCGGCCTTTCATCAGCTGGGTTCCTTCTCTCTCCTTGCTGTCACCTCCTTGCCTACTTCTTATCAGTTCTTTCACTCAGTGGAGGGGCTGCATCTGTCTTAAGTCTTGTATTTCCTTGTAACAGATTTAAATGTTACTATGAGAGAGCTCCCTCCCCCTCTCGGTACTGATTTGTCGTGGATGAGAAGGGAAGAAAGGGTCAGTCCCTCCCAGATTCTAGTATGTGTACCCAGGGTAAGAGGAGGGACTCCACCTCAATAGGTGGTAGCTGCCTCTGATCCGAAGCAATAAGCTTGCCTCTGTCTATGGAGCTTTAACTTTTTGTTGATTATCTTGTCGGTATTGCTTTGCCAAAGAAAGAAAGGATGCCACACTGCAGTGGAGGTAAATGTCAAGTGAGTGAGCTCCGAGTCATTATGAGCATCGTTACATGTGCTGGGGGGAGCGGGGGGTGGGGGCAACACGCTTTAATTAGAGCGACTCTTGGAGCCACTGAAGTGTTTGCCACATCTTGTGTATTCAGTATCCTGTATGTCAAAATGGCCATGGGAGCGCTTTAACTAAAGCTCATTGGACAACTTTAGTTAAAGCACGCTGCTGCCATTTTGAAGTGTGGGGGTATTGAATACATGAGACATGGGGCCTGCTGGAGTGTGATAATTAGCATGCTCCAGCAGACTCAATTAATTGAGTCTGCTCAATTAATTGAGTCTGCTCCAACGTGCTACAACAAAAACATGTCAGAGCAGTGTCCCCATGTTTATGGGCACCCTATTTGATTTCCTATGCACATGCCCCCAAAAAGTAGAATCTACCAGCATTTAGAAAAGCTGTGGTGTCTTTCTTTTTGAGGGTGTCTTACAAATGGTGTTCTATAACTGGAGTCCTTTGAACATACAAGCTGGCCCTGTACCCTCATGAAATACTGTTTTGGGGCAATCTGAGTAAGCATTGTAGCTTTTAGAGTGTTTAGAAGAATCTGTCTTTGTTTAATTTAAATTAGCTGAGCTACAATTCTTTTGTAATCTTTGCAGTATCTAGTTTGTGCCTGAAGAGGAAACAACTGGCCTGTAAGAAGTGTTTGAAAATGGCCCTTCCTCCTCTCTCTTGTGCAGAAAATAAAATGATTGTTATGAGTGGTTTTGTCCTTAGAACACAAAAACTAGTAGTCTTTCATCCATCCTGTTACATTTGTATACTCCTTAGTCTGGAAGGAGCAATTTTGGAATATTGTAAAATTTTCACAAGTGACTAAATACTTTTTAAAAATCAAGCTCCTTTAGGCATTTTTGAAAAATGTAGGTAATATGATCTTCTGCATAATGCCAGTCAAATTCAGATTACTTCTCATCTGTAAGAGAGAGAAATGTTGGCCTATCTTTGTAAAAGCATATTGAGATTTTTGAAATGGGAAGGGGTAGAGGTGGTTCTAAAGCAGCTGTTCAGAAAGTGTTAAGAGTAGATGTGTTTGTAATTCTGCTGTGTTTAAGTTCAAAATATTTATGCAGTAGTAATGTAAAAACCTTTCTTATCCTAGGTGTTCTGATATGCTGGGAAGGTGCATGTGCAGAGAGAGAGCCCCATTGTATTTTGCCAACAGAAAACACAGCATTTTGATAGCAGCATAGCTTTACCACTTGATTATAAACACATTAAGTTGTGGATCTTTATTCTGTATGAAAGTAACCCCCCGCCCCCCAACTATATTGGTATGATTGTCAAGTGATGTGGTTTGTTTGTTTGTTTGTTTTGTTTGTTTTTTAATTTATTCATGGTGGGAGCGGAGGGTGTGGAATCATGTCCTTATAAAAGGTGTCAGAGAAATGGGACTTTGATTTCTAGACTGCCCTTTACCTTTTGTACATAGGGCTTCATACGTAGATGAGTCCTGTATTGTCAGGAGTGACTAATCTAAATGACAAGTAAACTTTAAGCAAAAGCAGATTACGCTAAACTTCAAGTAATAAATTTTATCGTGGTCATAATCCAAAGTGCAGCACAAGCCTCTCTAATGATGATTTCGTCTTCCAAGTTCGATTTTACTTGGTTAATACAATATTGCATGGGTTTTGCTTGGAGAAGCATTTCCTTGGCACTGTTACCTTTTAAATAATTATTTAACACTGATATTGAAATGACTCCATGTAAACTTGTTTAACTTATGTGTGTTTTTGTTCTTTAAAGTTTGTTTAGATGGGAACTGTTAGTAATTCAGGCTGTAGTGACGAATGTTTTGAAGTAACTTGATTTCAGACTTAGTTATGTCACATCATTAGAATTTTTTTTTCTAATTTTTAAACAGCTAATAAAACTTATGGTTTACCTAAATTGTCCTTTGTATCTTGTCTGTTACTACAGACAAGTTGTCAAGTCATTATCAGAACAATGGACAAAAAATAAGGATTCTAGAAAACACTGTTCAGATCTGACCATCAGTTTGAGTGGTGTGGAAGGTGACTGGCAAGACACCTGAACTCTTTTATGGTACTTATAACTGACAGCCTTGCATAGGTAACATAAATATGTGGTTGGTTCAGTGCACAAACAACGTACAGAGAATTAAAAAAAATATTTATTTAAAAAAGTTGCCTTTTCTGTGCCTTTTTTATTTTGCTTTCAAGACTATTCAAGGAAATGCATTTAAATATAATTTTCTTAGAATGTTACCTATTTTAATAGCAGTGAAATTGCCTGCTTGTGACTTGAGTTTCCTGGCATTGCTTACAGTGGCTCACAACCTTGCATTACTTTTACAAAGCTGTAAAAGTCCACGAATGGACTTATTTCATAAATAGATTTTTTTTAAAATTTTTATTTTATTTTTTTGCTACAACAGTTGACCCTTCTGATAGTTGTCACACTCTAGCTGCCCTTTTCCTTTTGATTTTTTTCCTTCCCCCTTTTTATGCATGGAAGAAGAATCTATCATTTGAAAAGTTTGACATGAATGAGTTCTAGTAAGAACTTCCTTAACCTGAAGTAGATTTTTTTTCCTTTTAATTAGAATGATGTTCCTCAGTTTCTTTTCTCTTTAGCATAAGGTATAGGATTTTCCTCAAAGGCATACTGCAGTGTTGGCTTAGCCCTTGGATGACAGCCAGCCATTTCAGGTTGTGTTTAGAGTGTCTTCTTGAACTTCCCTTTCTCCAATCTTTGACTATTTGCCCAAATAATTTAAGTACATGTAAAATGATTGAGTTGAAATTGTTGTGCATGAATTTTTATACTGCAAAGCAAGTCTTAAAACTGTGCCTGCACAAGCAGTTTGTTGAGATCAGCTTTAATGGCTTATCTGACAGCAATGCTGCTGAGTAGCTGTGTGAGAAATGAACGGTGTTACAATAGAATATTATATGATAGCAACTATGCAAAACCCCTTCTTCCTTGTTTTCAAATATGCATGAGTTGCTGAAACCTAGAAGTTAATACTAAGATGGATCAATTCTTTTTGCAAGTCGTAGTATCTTACAGGTATTGACATTTTTAAAAAGCCATTTCTTAGTCGTCTTCAAACAAAGAAGGCCCTCCCCCCCCCCACCCCCCTCCCAACTTTGGTTTGTGTAATCACTTGTTGATTTAAAGTGCTTTAAGTTAGTGCTTTAATGCACTTTTCAAGTCACAGTTCATTAATGCTCCTTGACAAAAATATAAAAAAAAAGTTAGTTGTTACGGAAATGGTGGGGGAGAAAATAGTGTGAGGAAATATTTCATTATAAATTTTTAGAGAGGTCTAGGATAAATAATGACATATATGGATGTTTCTTTCCAACATAATGTACCAACCTGTTGTCTCTGAAGTGTGATCTATTGAGAGCCGGGAGGGGGGCTGGGATTTAATTTTCTTTGTTTTATTTTGTTTTTTACTTAAGATATTGGTAAATTGGAGAGAGTTTACAACTCCTCAGAGTGATTTATCCTCAATGTTATGCCTGTTGCATCATTCAGATATCAGTGATTTCATCTGGAAAATAATTTGAAGACTGTAATTAAAACAAAGTTGATGCTTGTTTTTTCCATAAAACAAAGGTCCCACCATACATTGGAAAGGTGGTATCATATATAGATGACTGAGTGTTTGCTTTAGTTTATCATTTTAGACCTTTTAAAAAATATATCCATTTGATTGCATCTTCAGAATGCCTCTAAGAGAACTGCATAAACTGAGAGAAACAAACATGACCTTGAAACGTTCAGTACAGTGAGAAAATTTGAGTAGCAAAACCCATCAAGAGCCTGAGTCAGTGCACATGCCACGTGTGTAACTACTATTGTTTTCATATTTCCCCTCCAGAGATGCTACAGGATGAGGTGTAAACTCTGCAGAAACAATAAAACTTGTCCTGTTCAATTCCAAAAGGGCTAGTGCTCTTGGCATTCCATTAAACCCTACTTAAAAAAAGAAAAACGAAACCATTCTGCTAATATGCCATATGATGTTTGTAGCAATTGTAACCACAGGCAGGCTTAATACAATTTCAGAAATAAGGAAATGAAAAATGTGGATATAATACTCAACACCTCCTCATGAGCCCAACAGCTAGTGATCTTTGCTCTACACAGATGACAGCCTTACGGCACCCTTTTCTGATACTCCAATCATAAAAACCAGACTGGATCTCTCTGGCCTGTTCTTTTTCCTATTGTTCTGTTCTCCCCAGTGGCATCATGATGTACAACAAAGCAGCACACGTTTCGCGGAAATTCACCTCATGGAGGTGGATAGATGAGAGAGACAAAAATGTGATCTGATATCTTCAGGATGCACTTGTTCCTTCTGGAACTATTTTCTATCTGCAGTTGAACATATGGATCTCAGATTGGCCTCTTTGATCATCTCTGAATTCACCAGTGACTCTTTTATTTACTGGAAGACAGTCATCCTTGTATTGAAGGACTGTCAATGACTGTTCTCATGGTTATGTGAAATAGCATGTGTTTGAAGTGATGGAAAACTGGTATGTCCACTGCTGCAAAGTTGAGGCAATTTGTATAACCTAATATATTTTTCTATGAGAAATCTGCTTATGCCTGCCAGTATCTGCTTAAAGCAAGGGTGGGCAAAATATGGCCTGTGGGCTGAATCCGGCTCACTAACTGACTGGATCCAGCCTGTGGCTGCCCCCGTGGTGTTCCAGGTTGCCTTCCACCATCTCCCAACTGTGGATGGGAAGCTGTGTGAACTGGCTGGCTCCGGGACTGGCAGGCACAGGCTGCCCTAGGAGGGAGCCGATGGGGCTCAGTCCCGTGAAGAGTGCTACAGGGGCAGCTATGGACCAGATGTGCCTCCCCATCCCTGGCTGGGTCTTGGGACTTAGTGTGAAAACAGCCCCTCCCACACACATGTGTACCCCTCCCATCCCCCTCACACAATATTCAAGAGTAAGATTTTATTTTGAGCTATTATGCAATTGCCTGTATATACAGTACTTAAAAAAAATAGAACAAAAATATTTTTTGAAATAAAATTAAAATGTTACAGTAGATGCTTGATTTATAGATTAAAAAAACAAATCATATACTAAAATTGGTTAAAAAGGTATCTTATAAAATTTTGTGTGCGTGACTCTTGACAACTTGCCAGAACTTGTTAAGTGGCTGCTGAAATAATTGCCCACCCCGATGTAGAGGGTTTGCTGTGGTATTTGTCTATTTCCATGCCTCTGTACAAAGAGTTGCAGGAGAAATTGAATTGAGGAGTTAGGCTACCTCTAGTATAATACTTCCTAGCTTTAAAAACCATGAGTTGTATCTTTTTTTAGAATTAAGTTTAGAATAACCTGTTTGTTTTCTAGGTATTCTGCAGCATCCTGATGGCACAGTCTTGAAGCAATTGCAGCCACCACCTCGGGGTCCCAGAGAACAAGAGTTTTACAACAAGGTAAGAATCCTGCTTTATGGTTGTAGTTGGTCTTAATGAAAGTTGAATTATATTTCTGACTTAAAAGGTTCCTTGGCCCTTACTAACAGGAAAGTTTAAGTGATACAACAGGCAAGCAGGGCACAGTTTATTCACACTTAGGGCTAATTTTCAAATTCCGCTTATTAAGTGTCAAGATTGAATGATGTTGTAATGCAGGGGTTTTCAGCCTTTTTTTAACAAGTGTACCCTGCTGGTGGCGGCTGGACGCAGGGGAGAGATAGGGGTGGTGCTCGCACTCTGCGGCTACCACCGACGCTCATTGCCACCGTGCCCCACTTTTCCTATGGCTGGTTGCATGTGTCAGCAGTCTGTGGAGCCGCATGTACAACCGGCTATGGGAAAGTGGCGTGGGGTGGTGGCGGTGGTAGCTACCACGTGCTACCTTACTGTTAGGCTGGGCAGCACCTATGCAGGCCACAGAGGGCCGGCATTTCCCTCGCTTTCCCACCCCCCCGGAAGCAGGCATGGAAATGCACTTACTTCCCCCCGCCCCCGCTGCCATTGGCCACTGGGCTTCCTCGAGGGTCTCAATCGGGAGAGTGAGCTGGGATGGGGAGGTGCATGGGGCTGGCAGCACCTGGTGTGAAGTAGGTGAACACACTGGGGCGATGCTGCCATGGCACTCCAGGGTGTGGTTCATCTCCGCCCCCCCCCCCCAAACGTGCCCCTGAAGACTTTTCTAAGTACCCCTGGTTGACAACCCCTGTTGTAATGGCTATGTTGTGTGAGAAGACTTTTATGTTGTTTAGATCTTGTTGCTGTTAATTTCTGTTCTTTGAATGCTTGATCTATTCTCTAATAAGTAAGACTGAGCTCTGTTGCTCCATAAACAATAGTAAGGGTTTATTCAATTCTATATATAATGTTTTTTTGCATAAAGAAAGCATTGACTTTTCTGACTGCAAAGCCACTATGTGTACTGCCAACTTCTTATTACTTCCTAGTCTCCCTTACCTTTTTTATAGAATGTAGTATTGCAGAAATGCATATTGCCTATCCTGCCAGTTGTGGCTCACTATAAAGAGTTTTGCTTCCTTCTCCGTTATGCTTAAAAAACCCCAAACAAACAAATAACTCTTCCCCTCCTCCTCAAAACAATCCTTACCAATCCCCTCCCACTAGATCTTTTAATTAAAAGCAAGCCAACAACACTTTCTTCGTGTATGTGAAACTCTGTTTATTGAGAATTTTACAGTATTTTCTCCCCACAATTTCTGTATACTTGTACAACTTTTTTATTATATTTTTCAAGACAGAGTTTAATGCACTTTGTATATAGTCCAAACCTGTTGTCATTCTTGAGTTTGCTTTTTTTATAAATCAGATAACATCTTAAATTTTGTTTGTGGTTTATGTTCAGTCCAGGCTGGTTGGTTTAGTGGAGTTTTTTCCTATGGGGCCCATATTCCATCAACCTTAAGATGTCCGAGGCCTTTTAACAGATTAGTGTAAATTAGGATCTGGGAACATAGAAAACTGTATATGGCAGTTAGACAGTGGTTTGTCTACCTTAGGGGCCTGTGTTTCATAGGGCTTAGTACTGAAAAGCTTCAGTGGAAGATGAAAGAGAGCCTGGAGCATGGAATAACAATAACCTTGTTAGTTAGTAGGTTTTGTCCCAAAGCAGGAGACTTGCTATGTCCTTAATCCTAAAAAGAAAAATAAAAGAACGGCCATGGCTACTCATTGTTTTGATAAACATCCTTTAAAAATCCAGTTAGCTTTTTTTGTCTCTTGTCTTATGACATGTTGCTCTAAGGGCTTTTACTGTGCATTTTGTGTGTGTGTGTGTGTGTGTGTTCTGTTTTTTTGTTTTTTGGGGGGTTTTTTTTGGTGGTTTTTTTTTTTTTTAAGAATAGCATTTCCTTTTCATTTTGTCAAACTTCATGTTCCCATATTCTTGTATTGAGAGGGAACATTTAGGGAAAATAAAAAACAAATAGCAATTTAATGGCCTTTTCTGCATCATTTATTATTGTCTGTAGCATAACCCTCCATATCTCTTAACCCTCTGGATCTTTTTCTATTTCCAATGTGGATGTGCACATGCATATGTATGCACGCTACCCCCAACCCTGTTGTAGATTTTAAAAGTTATTTGAACTGTCAGATTCCACCTTCATTACTCAGACCTACAGTATTTATGCTGAATATTTACTTGTCACATAAAGTATATTATAGAACTTTATGGTAATATATGTATGTGTACAAAATAGGCTTTTATGTGACTATGTAGCATCAAATATTTCTAGTAGACTATATTGAAGTGTCGTTTTCACATGGATCAGAATCTTGGGCATGCTGTATAGAAGGTAACATGGATTTTATGAAAGATGAAAGCTTTTGTAGTGAAATATTTGTGTTCTACACATGTTTTCAAATGGCAGAATCCAGAAACTCGGGAAGGTGGAGAGACTTCTTAAAAAGTTTACTACCCAGTCTGTAGATTGCTAACAACTGCTCTTGAGTCTTGAGGTTTTTGTGTGTGTTAACTAAGAATCTTTAATTAAGTCTCAAAAAGAAATGTTTTATATTTTGTAATTGTATTGAATAAAGATGGCTGCAAAATGGGGCACACAATGATGCAATTGAAAACACTATTTATATGTTTGTGTAACTTCATAGTTGATGTTATAACACTACTAAAATAGAAATTAGTGAAATAGAAATGGCTCAAGTGGGAGTAACATAGACTTAAATGTCAATATCTTCTTGAGGTTTCACAATGGTTATGTCATTAGATAGGATTATGAAGGATATAATCCAGTGAGAGTTCCTCAGTGAGAGTTGGAGGCTGAACAGAGAGGGCCTTTAGAGAATGATGTGATAACAAGGTATGAACTCTAATGTACGAGTTGAAAGAACTGATAAAAGTGTGCTATCACTATTTAAGACCAAAATTATCCTCTTAGATAGTGTTTTTTCCATTAATCCAGGGAATAAAAAAGAAAATCTTTATTTTTATTTTGAAGAGAAACTTTGTAGGGTCTAACTTCTACCCTACAATCTGTTTCTCTGCTTGTTTTTTACACCTATGTCAAAGAAGCTTGTGGACAAAAGTCATGACAAATTAAAGAGAGAGATCCTGTTTATCTAAGTCACATAGCCATGTCCTGTTTATCTAAGTTACCATGAGTGTTAGTTTTACAGCAGTTTCCAAGGCTTGTAAGTGTTGTGGCCAGAAGCCAAGGTTAACTAAGACTTGAAAGGGTAGCCAGATATTCAGGAAAATCTGTCCTTATCTAGATTTGTGATCAGTTTTGGTAAGGGAAGCCCTAGAAGTGCTAGTTGAGAAGGAAAAGCATGTCTCCTAGTTTCTAAGTCTTCAAGCAAAAAGGTGCATCCCAGGAGATTTATGCAATTATGCACCCATGTAATTTTGCGCATAAAATGCATGACTGCGCATAATTGCATAATATCACTTAATTCCCCATGGTGTAGCTGGTGAGTGAGAAGGGGAGCTCCTGCCTGCAGGACGTGGGGGTGGACATGGAGATGTGTGGCTTTTTAGAGTGGGTGTGGGCCCCCCTGCCACATGCCCCTCACCCCATGGTATATAGCAGGGGTGTCCAACCTTTTTGAATGTGGGGCCGGATCATGAACTTTTTATCACCCAGTGGGCCGGCGAGCCATATTCAAAGACCTCACAGGAAGTGGTATCACATCAGGAAGCGATGTCACGTGACCTTTGACACCAATGAAGTTGCAGGAAATGACAATGGAATGGGTCTGGAAATGTGGCTTAAAATCCAAAATAAAAACAATATAAAAGCAAGAATGAAAGAATACCAAACACTTGACTAAAATAAACACTTTCGCTTCTACTCGCTTCTCAATGAATGAAAGAAGCATAATTAATGCAAGTCGACAGATCAAATGTGGAAAAGATATCAGCCAGAGTGAAAACTAATCAAAGCAACAAAATATGGGCATTTTTGAGAATAATCTTTAAGAAGATTTACTTTTATTGAATTAATAACTTGTTAGTAACACATCTTTAACAAGTAGTAACAAGTTGAACCCCCAATCCTGCACAAAGAGAAACAGAAGCAAACACAATCCAAACACTGGACAGTATTTTTACAAAGACTTTTACCTGCTCCAAATTTACGTTGGAGCCCAGATCGTTCATGCTCTATTCTTGAACATATTGTTCAGTCTTAAACAAGCATACAGCACAGTTATCCAGTGAGGTTCATAATTTGGGACATTCTGTTACAACAGGAACTATCCAGGCAAAAAAAGAGACAGGTGGCAATACAACTGTTGTCAAGTCTCAAGAAAACAAGCATGCTCCAATCCATGCTGTAAGTGTACAAAAACAGTGTAAAAACAATGTGTACAAGTCTACCTTTATTAACTTTCTGAAAACTACAATGAACACTGATTTCTTTAGTGTGATACCTGGCATTGTTTTTGCTTGCACAAGTTATCAATATCTGCTGGCACACTTGATGTGATGCGGAGCATTCCAGATAAATGTCCATCTGTCAAAAGTGATCTTGATTTTGTTTTTATTTTCTTCTTTCTTGAGAGAAGCTGTTCACAGCAATATGTGCTGCCAAACAGTGCAATGAACCGAAGTGCATGATTCAATAGATTTGGGAAAAAGTACCATGTCAGTAGGTCATGTTCTGCAAAAGCTCTCTTCAAGGCACTGTTTTTTGGATGTCAGTTAGTTCCATTTGGAACGTGTCAGGAGCATTGGTGGCATCCGTTCTAAATGGATCTGCAAACAGCTTCAGCTCATTGCTGTGTTCCCTGAAATCCGCAAATCTTTGTTTGAATTCATCCAGCAGACGGCCGATCAGTGCAGAATACTTGTCATGGTTCGCAGTCTCAGCACATCTTGTTAATAGTATTGTGAAATGGGTGACATTCTTTTTATTCAACTGTTTCTGAAACAATTCCAGCTTATGACTGAAGGATTGGATGTGTTCATACAGTCTGTTGACAAA